CTCCTCCTGTAGTGTCCTTCTACCTTGTTCTCTTTTTCCTTTCTTTATCCCAGTTTATTCTTTGTTGCTTTTGTGCCCTAAAGTGACAGTAAACTCCGGAGTTAAATCTTCAAAATACATTCAAGTCCCTTAACTCTGAACAACAATGTATCTTATTTGTGTATCACTCGGCTGAAGATCCTCCAATCATCTCTGACTCTGTCCTTCCTTCTGGAGGGGGGTGCTACTTCTGTTCCCCATGGTACCTGGGTGTGTTGTAGAGTAGTCACCGCTCCAAGCTCGCTACAATCTCCATACAAATCAGTAAACTAAACATGAGATTGTAGTCCATCACAGGAGCGAGCTTGGAGCGGTGACTACTCTACAACACACCCAGGTACCATGGGGAACAGAAGTAGCACCCCCCTCCAGAAGGAAGGACAGTGTCAGAGATGATTGGAGGATCTTCAGCCGAGTGATACACAAATAAGATACATTGTTGTTCAGAGTTAAGGGACTTGAATGTAAGATTTAACTCCTGAGTGTAGTCTCACTTTAACTGCATAGTTTGTGTTCTGACCATGGGGCTGTCTTTGGAGCTGGCTGATGGAGATGTGGTTTCCACATTGTTGCTCTCGTCCCTTAGCCATTGTGTACCTTCCTGATCTAAGAATAACGCCGCTAATCTGTGTTCCAGCATTGCTGCGATTGATTGTAACGCTGTGTCTTGTTTTTTGTTATTTTTGCATAAATAAAGAATTAAAAAAACAAAAATGTAAACTGGACCCCCAAATACCTGAAATGGTCTCATGACGGGCCGGGTCCAATATTTAACTCTCCTCCTCTGCAGCACGGGCACATAATTTTCCAGAACGCTGAGCTTAGTGTAAGCCGCCGGCCCGCTGAGAGGAAACGGGGTTTATGTTTAGTGATTACAGCAGCGGTTTGTTTGAAAACAAAATCCCAATTAAAGGGAAATAATGAACAATTTTCTGTCCGTTTTATTTTACTTGTGTTTACTTAAAGTGTGTTTCCAATTTTGCAACCAAATTGGGATATCACCTATTTTATATTTATGACATGTTTTTCATTCACGTTGCATACGTTATAAAAATGAAAAATTGCTTCTTAACATTTACCTTCTCTTCTGAAAAGTCCAAAGTCTTCCTAATTTGCAGACACGGACAAATTTGTTGGTAACCCCCTCCACAAAGAACCCTACAGTCTCTCGCTCTTGCTCTCGATCTCCCCCCTCCCTCGATCTCTCCCTCCAGCTTTCGCTCTCCCTCCAGCTTTCCCTCTCCCTCGGGTTTGCAAAGCAATATGGGCTAGCTAAGTGGAAGCACAGCAGTAGCTGCTTGCTTTGCAGCTCCCTTTATCTGATTGAAACATTGTACAAAGCCATCTGATAAGGGAAGAGTCACTGCTATAAATGCAAAGCAAACTAGGAGTCTGAAAAAAAGGGGTAAATAAGTCATTTTGCTGGCTCAAAAGTTTTTTTTACACCCCCCTACCCCCCCCAATGACAACTCCATCGAGAGACAGTCCACTGGCAATGAATAAGAAGCAGAGAGACAATACATTTTGGAACATCAGACTGCCTTCAAAGGAGGGGAAGTGGTAGAACCCCTGTCAGCTAATTGTAGGCGGGGCAGTTTGACTCTCTGTATTTGTGTCGGTGCCCGTTGTCACCGAGACAGAAAGTGAGGGGGAATCCAAAATGTTACACCGAGGGGAAATGAAGTGAGGGGAATTCTTCAGATAGGGAGACCTGTTCTGGAGACAGCTGTCTAAAGGTAAATGACCTTTACTTTTGTGTGTCTGGGGCAGGAAGTGAAGGGAAATCTTTCCAATGGGACACAGATGGTACAAAATAAATACTTTTAATACTCCCCTACTCCATCCAATACTGAAAACAATGGTATGACTATAAGTACACTTTATGTATGCAGGTAATACATATGACATGCAAGTGTGATCTACAGGTGAAACTCGAATAATTAGAATATCCTGCAAAGTTCATTTATTTCACTAATGCAACTTAAAAGGTGAAACTAATATATGAGAGAGACTCATTACATGCAAAGCAAGATAGTTCAAGCCGTGATTTGTCATCATTGTGATGATTATGGCTTACAGCTCATGAAAACCCCAAGAACCCCAAATCCACAACCTCAAAAAAGTAGATTATTACATGCAATCAATAAAACAAGGATTGTACATAGAACAATATCAGACCTCTAAAAAGTACAAGCATGTATATGTACTCAGTACTTGGTTTGGGCCCCTTTTGCAGCACTTACTGCAATTACTTGCACGATATTCTAATTATTCGAGTTTCACCTGTATATCCATTCATTCTGACTCCTTCATTTCTGATCTACATTTGGTAACTCTAAGTATGTCTTTGTTTTATTTTAAAGGTCTCCTGGAAATAGACACTTCCTGCTGGAGCCATGAGTGCCCCCAAACAATGGGACATCAGCAAAGCCCTGGCCGTCGCCAGCTTGTTCAATTTCTTCCACAGCGTTGGAAATTTCTGTGTCTTTCCCTTCTTAACCATCTTCTTCCGACACTTTGGACTGAGCCCTCCGCTGGTGGGCATCATAATGGGGGCAAAGCACATGGTCTATGCTCTCTGGGCCCCGTTTTGCTCTTTCGTGGCCAAGACCAACAGCAAGAGGAGGATAATCATTTTCTGTTCTTTGCTTTTGTCCGCCGTGGCTAGCGGAATCCTCACCTTTTTCCCACCGCTGCAACAGGGCATGGTCTTCAGGTATTGCAACGTGAGTCTCTCATTAGCAAACAAACAGACTACACCGGGTGCCTTGGATATGGAGATGTTCGGGCCTGAGGACAACGGCAGTTTTGTATTACCTGAACCTCCCAAGGTAACTACGATGGCAACAGTCATAATTACAAGTCTTAGCAACACAACTACCATAGCAGAACCTGCCGGAGAAGCTCAAATGACTTCTAAAACCTTGAAGAAGTTACACGCTGCACCTCCTCATCACCCAGATTTAACCGCACATTTAAGAACTTCTACTACACGAAAACTGTCTAAAACAGATGCTTCCAAAAGGCATACCAAGCCGAAAGATAGAATCACCACCAGCGAACAATCTACAGGCGGCCTAGAGCGTAGGACCTATTCACCTGAGGCAGTTGTGAGGCCCTCTATAGCAGAGGAACCTCAAGCTGATGGTAATAGTCCCATCCCTCAGCAGCCACAAGCTATCTTTGTGCCAAAGAAAAGGGACCTTAGCAAAAAGGCTGCGCAACCTGAACACTTTCTGGATGGGGAACATAACATATTCCTGGTTGTCCTGGGAATTGTAATTTTTTGGGAAATTGTTGCTTCACCTCTGGAGTGGACGGCAGACGACAGCGTCTACGAATACCTTGACTTTGTGGATGCCACAGACCGGCACGAGAAGATCTGGATCTGGCGTTATTTGGGGGCTTGCCTCGGAGCCTTTTCCATTGTTTTTCTGATGGACAACGTGAACTGTTTCTTCATCCCCAACTTTCCCAGAGTCTACCTGCATTTTTACGGCTACTCCGCCTTCATGATGATCACTCTTTTGTTGAGCACATGGTATCCCATACATGTCTCAAAGAAAACGGAACACGCAAGCAAGACCATAAAAGCGTTGGGCCTGATGGGAAGCGACGGCCGTATCATCTTGCTGTCGATCACCGTTTTCTTGATGGGTGCCGTGAGGTCCACCGCTGACAATTTCCTGTTTTGGAAGATGCAGGATTTGGGGAGCTCTGAACTTTACATGGGACTTTCTGTGGTTCTCGTCCTTGTTTCTGAAATCGTCTTTTATGCTTTTAAAGGCAAACTCATGAGGTCCTTGACCTTCAAGTGGATGGTGGCTCTTGGCCTCCTCTGCCAAGCTGTAGAGTTTTTGTATTATTCCTTCTTCTGGGCACCGTGGGCTGTGTTGCCGATTCAAGTGTCAAGCGCCTTCAGCAATGGGGTTCTGCTGTGGGCCATCAGATCTCAAATCGATGATGTTGCCACACCGGGAATGGAGAGGTCCATCCAGCTCGTCCTGCACTGCTTATCCCACCACTGCGGAGCTAGCCTGGGCAGCTTTGCCAGCGGCTTCGTCATCAGCAGTTTCAACCTTGAAATTCTCTTCCAGTCCTGCTGCGTAACGTTATTGGTCTGGCTTTTGATGTTTTTGGTTATCCAACCCAGACTTCCCCAAACCAAGAAGATCAACTACTCACGACTGCTCGCCCCCGACAACAGTGACATGAGCGACTCCGAGGATGAGCAGGAGAGGGACTGGCTGGTCAAGGCCATGAAAGACGACGGTAAAATATGGTAGCCATGAACACTGGCTGTTGTCCATGACCAGGACCTGACATGCAGCTTTCAGGCCTGGAAAGATCGGAAATATGAACTTTTATGGAATGCTGTGAACATCCCCAATCCGAGCAGTTGGCTTCCTGTCCATGGGACTAGTAGAACTTGTTATTCACACAATGGAAATGCCAGACAAAGACATGGACACCTTGTAAGATCCTGGCAACATTTGACTTGGAGAAAATCCCTCTGCAATGCAAACACAGAATCTGAGGATTAACGTTTACTCCGGAACGCTGGACCTCCTGGGCCAAGGGGCCCATATAGCTGGAGCCCTTCTGTTGACTGACCTAAAAAGGGTTTATGAATTTTAGAAAAATGTTTTTAATCTGCTGTAATGGCCTCGGCTGAAAATGAATAATATATTCTTAAATGACAAGAGTTTCATTGTGATTTGAAATACTGATTTAAAGCTGATCTCCATTCAAATCGCTAAATACACCATCTACACGAGGGAGATGGTTTACTGCCCAAGGTCAAAGGTTTCTGTCAGTCCTGTCCTATGATTTACACAGTCCTGCCACACAACACAGCCCTACCTGACAGGAGACCTGAGTCTTCTTTGCTGCAGTTATGTAACACTTACAGGTCTTGTCTCTGAGGTTTACCTGTTCTGCGAAATAAGCAAGGCCCCCGAGGTATGGTGGACTGGGAGAACTGGGATGCTCCCCTGCAACTCCAGAGAGAGAGAGAGTTCACCTAACCGTGTCACATGGCTTTAGGATGCGGAATGGTTCTAGACCGGTGCAGTATGCAGCAGTGACCAGGACTAGTATCTGGCTGGATTCCAAGCTGCAGGGGACAGGGCAGGACTGGTAGAGTCCACGTTTCAGGGCAGGCAGCAGTCTGTTATCCAGGCAAGGGTCTGGGCAGGCACCAATCGGTAACATAATCTGTTATCCAGACAAGGGTCATGGCAGGCGGCAATTAGTAACATAATCTGTTATCCAGACAAGGGTCAGGGCAGGCAGCAACCAGTAACATTATCTGTTAGCCAGGCAAGGGTCATGGCAGGCAGCAGTCAGAAGCTTAATCTGTTATCCTGGCAAGGGTCAGGGCAGGCAGCAGTCAGTATCTTAAACTTATCCAGGCAAGGATCGGGGCAGGCAGCAATCAGTAACATAATCTGTTATCCAGGCAAAGGTCAGGCGGCAATTAGTAACAATCTGTTATGCAGACAAGGGTCTGGGCAGGCAGCAATCATTTTTGCATAACTTCGCCCAGAGCGTTCTGGGGAGGGGGAATGCTGTGACCCCCCCTATAAGAGGTAATACCTGGAAGTGTTACATCAACTTGTTACTTAGTACGCTGCACTTCACATGATGTAATGTATCTGACGGTCGGTCCACCTTACTGTACGTGGAGATATAATGAGAATGATCAGCACACATGATGCAGCTCTGACTTTTTCTCCAATGTTCGGGCAGGAAAGGTGAACATGCCGCCCCGGAGAGGAGGATGAGGCGGGATAATGGCCGTGTCATGTCTGTCTTCCTGTGTAGCTGCAGCTTTTGGCAGTTATGGAGAATCTTCAGGACAGCTGCTCCCGTCGCCCGCTTCATTATCTGCATTAGCTGTAATTGCCGTTCGCTGCATCTCAATTAAGAGTCAGGCACGGAAGATTAACCCCGTGCTGTAAAAGAAAAAAAGGGCTTTATTCACTAAGTACAGATTCTTCCATTCCTTATAAACAATGCAAAGGACTACATTCTGGTTTTCATGTTATCACTCACCTCACTCCTTTTGCTCGTGCTAGCCGTGGTGACTATGGCTGTTGAGACGCTCGCCTTCCCTATTAAAAGGGGCTGAAGAAACGGGTATGTTATGACTTCTCACAGACCAGTTTTGAAAAGTTTTAAATGGCCACACCCCCTTACCCTTCTAGGCCCCTCCCTCTTTATTTATACATACCTATTAGTAAGGTCAGCCTGGTGACATCATGGGTCCTTACTCTCCTCCTACCTTCCTCTACTGCCGCCCCCAGCGCATATAAAATGACATGTAAGCTCCGTTCAATGTAGTAGTACTCTGAGCCCAGGCCGGTGGGATATCAGACCAAGGAGTGTGGCCATGACACGATGAAAGGCACCCGACACACTTAACATGCGTGTTGCACATTGCGGTAGAGAGTAGGGATGCACTGATACTAGTATCTGTGCCGATGCCCAGTATTTGGGCGAGTACTTGTACTCTCCCAAATGCTCCGAGGTCTAGCCTGACACCTGGGCTTCCAGTATCAGAAAGCCGGGTAGCAAGTCATTACATGGCGCCTGGCTTCCTGATTGGCCAGGCAGTCAGCTCCATACTCCCTTGTGGCTTGGTCACGAGGGAGCATGGAGCCGGCTCCCCGGCCAATCATGAAGCCCGCAGCATGTAATGAATTGCCACCTAGCTCCCTGATCAGTCGGGAAGCCGGCCAACCAGGAAGCTGGACGACTAGTCATTACCTGCCCCCTGGCTTTCTGATTGGCCAGCTGAGTCCATGCTCGCTTGTCACTTAGTGTCTCCATGCTCCCTCGTCCCGCTACCCGGCATCCTGATTGTTTGGGAAGCTGTCCAGTCAGGTAGCCGGACGGCGAGTCCTTCTGATTGGCCAGAAAGCCACCTTGTGACGAGGGAGCATGGAGACGGCTTCCCTGCAATTTGGGAAGCCGGGTGACGAGTCTTTAGATGCCGCCTGGTTTCCTTAATGGGACTTTTATTATCGGTATTGGCGAGCATCGGAAAAAAGGACTTGAAAAACCGGTATCGGTGCATTGCTAATAGGGAGCATTACTACAAAGCATAAGGGTTCATTTATAAGGGCCCATTCACAGAGGATCTATTCTTCAACGGACGGGCACCGGCAAGTGAATGGGGCCGGTTCACTCCGCTCCGTTACCATGTGCTGTGCTGAAAGAAAATAGACCGTGCTCTACTTTTTTTTTTTTTCAGAGCAACAGATCGGTGTGAACTGGACTGACCCCATTCATTTTCCCGTGCCCTTCTGTTACCATTCCTTAAAAAAACAAGTCAGAAGGTACAATTGCAAATCAACAGGCCCTCCGTTGACTTGCGATTTCCTTTCAATTCTGGGGTGAGTGCTCCCTAAAAGTTCCGCCCGGCGTACACCGGTGCATGGCACGGGTGCCTTTAAGTGGCACAGACGAGTGTAGGAATTTCCTATAATCATCAGCGCCATCTACAGGTGCTAGTACCGTGCGACGGGCATAGCCGAGCAGGAGCTTTTATGAATGAACCCCGTGGTGGGCCGGTAGTGTCACACAGAGTTTACAACACAGCAGAGTGCCGAGCTGCAGGATTTACACTTGTTGTCAGTGCAGAAAACTGAGAACTAATAATGCCAAAGCCATGAAATATTGTGCCAAGGGTGCCATTGTAGACACCATAATGTCTGTAATCAGCTGCAGCTGACAGATCATCATGCGAATGGCCAGTCTAAGGTTTCGCAGCTTTCGCTCTCTGCACTGCTTCCCTCTATGCAGCCTATGAGCAGTTACCTAGAATGTCCACTAGAGGTCGCCGGTGCACATCCTCCCCCAGAATCTGGTCCTCCTCAGCATCCCTCTGCATATCAACTGATGAACCTCCAATGGTTTGTAAGCTTCCAGGCGAGTGTCAGCGCTGTCTGCCCCCTCCTCCGCCTCCTCTGCCTCCTCCGCCCGCCTTGTATTCACTATCTCTGTGCCATGTAGTTTATTCATCTCCCTCTTACAGCCAATGCCTCGTCCAGGGGAGCTCTGCGTAGACACCTAGAGCAAGTCGGGGGGGGACCTTTCTAAGCGATGACGATGGAGAAGGAATGCAGGGCGTCAAAGCAGTACGGATCGCTGGAATCCACGATGTGGAAACCCACCGAGCTAGCTACAGGTAAGTGTCTGCATGATGGTGAGCGGAGTACACCTGTGTGCACTCCCGGCATCCCCCCAGTCCTGCTCTGCGCTCGCTGTCCTCCATTCACACAGTGCTTTTTTGAACTCAGTATATATATATACACATGTTTTATATATGTATGCTTAAAGTATGACAACTTTCTGAACGTGTGTGTATATACATGGGGATCTATCCATCCATCTATCACTGCTTGGCTTTCATACTGTATTATGTGTTAGCATCACTTGCCTGCTTTAAGATCCGCTGACTGACTCCCTTATCAAGGACACTTACTGTATCCTGTAGAACTGCAATATATAGCTATGGGGTGGCTGTGCTGCCTGGCAGGGTCTCCCTGATTTCCCAGCATAGCCCCTCCTATGTGCGCGCTCCGTACTTCAGCCGCACAGACACCCTTCCTCGGAAGAAGATGACTCTTCCACCCACCAGCTTTGAGATTGACAGATGGTTTTCCTCCTCACGGCAGGGGGGCGATTCTGTATGCACCTCCCGGGTAGAAGTTCAAGAGAGAGAGAGAGAGAGAGATGGCGGCATTTATAGTGCAGCTAGAAAGGTCAATCTGAAGGCAAACATTGAAGTGTACATGTAGACCAAAGAACAAAAATGCAATATATTGCAGCCTATCAGTCCATAGACGTGGTTGGCCGCATTCATTTTCTTCTGCAAGTGTAGTCGATCCCGAAAGGAATCCAGTGTCACTTCCTGTGTGCTGAAAAAAAAAAAAATCACAATGTTATCAGCTTCCCCAGCTATTTTATGTGAACTTCACAACCCCTCCCTAATGGAAATGAAGAGAAGGGGATATTTGTAGTCAAAATCAGGAGATCAGCCTAGGGTGACAACGCTGCTCCTCCATATATACAGTATGTTGTCACCCTAGGACAGTACGGGGTGTTAATGGCAGGATCATCAGGGGAAAATAAGGGGGGGGGGGGTGGACAAAAAAAAATGAATCTGAAGTCTGGTGATCATCAGTATATAAAATGTTTTGTTCTTGGGTTTAGATACACTTTAAAGGAGTTGTGAAGTCCCGGCATCTCCTCTCCTGTTATGACATCAGCATTGTAATAGGAATACGTACTAGAGACGTCTCTGATAATACAATCAAAGCTTACTTGAAGTAGTGAGCGCTGCCTTCCGTCTGCCCATCACTTCCAACAACTTCCTGCATTCCCTGCGTGCTTTGCGTCTCTCTTCCCTGCTGCTTTATGCGATGCAATCTCCGTTTCTCAAGACTACACATCCCATCATGCATTGCTTCAAGCAAGCAGTGATAATGATACTTTGTTCTGCCGCTGATCCATTGCAGTCACTATTTGAGAGTGCCTGCGTGCGTTCCATCCAATGTTGGCTGCACATCAATGTAGATTGACCTCGAGGATGAGAACTGTGGACCGTGGCTGTGCAATGTACAATATGTTTCCACAGCCACTTCTAACCTCAACCAAAGGACGTGTGACAGGGTGACAACTAGAGATGCAGGTACTGGTATCGGTATCTGTGCCGATGCCGAGTATTTGGGCGAGTATTAGTACTCGCCCAAATGCTCCAATCCCTAGCCCGATACTCCTTCCGGTATCAGGAAGCCGGGCAGCGGGTCAGTCCCCAGCCACATACACCCCCCTACTAGTGGATGGTGCAATCACAATGTCATGTGTGTGGCTGGTTCTGATGGATGCGGCTGTATTGATAACAGACACAGCGGGGGCGGGGAATAAAGACCTCTGAGATATTTCCACAAATCTGAATCCACCATTTCATTGTAGAGCCGAATGATTATCGGGTATCCTAAATCTGTCAGTGAACCTCAAAACCACATAGATCGGCTATCCCATCTATCTAGCTAGCTATCTACACTATATTGCCAAAAGTATTGGGCTCCTCCCCCTCCAAATCATTGGATTCAGGTGTTCCAATCACCTCCATGGACACAGGTGTATAAAATCGCGCACCTCGGCATGCAGACGCTTCTACAAACATTTGTGAGAGAATGGGTCGCTCTCAGGAGCTCAGTGACTACAAGCGTGGTACCGTGATAGGTTGTCACCTGTGCAATAAGTCCATCCGTGACATTTCCTGGCCACTAAATACTCCGCGGTCACCTGTTAAGGGAAATCCCGCGATCGTACGATTATCGCAAGGTGTGTGGAAGGCGTGCGACTGTTTCTACTGTACGGTCGCACAACTTTTATCTTAGGAACATGTTTAGAGGGACTAAGGAGTTTGGGGTGGAGGAACTTGACTGGCCTGACCTCAACCCCATAGAACACTTTTGGGATGAATTAGAGCGGAGACTGCGAGCCCGGCCTTCTCCTCCAACATCAGCACCTGACCTCACAAATGGTCCAACATTCCCATAGACACACCCCTAAACCTTGTGGACTCCTTCCCAGAAGAGTTAAAGCTGTTATAGCGGCAAAGGGCGGAGCCAACCCAATACTGAACCCTACGGACTAAGACTGGAATGCCATTAAAGTTCATCTGCGTGTAAAGGCGTCCCAATACTTTTGGTAATATAGTGTATATATCATCGATCCCTCTATCTATCTTTTCTATTATCTGTCTATTGATCTCATCCATCTTTCTTCCTCTCTCTTTCTCACGCTTTCTTTTTTTGTCTCTCTCTTTCCCTTTCTCTCTCACATTTTTCAAAAAAAAACGCTTCATGAATGGAATTGTAACACGTTCCCGATCAGTGTCTGTGAATGGAGACGGGGGGGACGCCCCTCTGCAGAGATACGCAGCCAGTCGGTGGAAGGGAGCACGTCTGGAGTCACAGCAGGGACTACGGAGATTTGTCGGCTGATTTTCTGCTGAAGTCGATGTAAACCCGATCCCTAAAATCTCAGCGAAGCTTCCACACGTTCATGTCATTTTATATGTATTTTGAATAGTTTAAATCTGCAGCTCCCAATTAAATAATCCCGGTGATCCTGCCATGATGGTCCTTGTTCAGGCCCTTCCTGTTATAGGGTGACAACACTCTGTCCTTCTTCAGGCCCTTCCTGTCATAGGGTGACAACACTCTGTCCTTCTTCAGACACTTCCTGTTATAGGGTGAAAACACTCTGTCCTTGTTCAGGCCCTTCTTGTCATAGGGTGACAACACTCTGTCCTTGTTCAGGCCCTTCCTGTCATAGGGTGACAACACTCTGTCCTTCTTCAGGCCCTTCTTGTCATACGGTGACAACACTCTGTCCTTCTTCAGGCCCTTCCTGTCATAGGGTGACAACACCCTGTCCTTCAGGCCCTTCCTGTTATAGGGTGACAATGCTTTGTCCTTCTTCTGACACTTCCTGTTATAGGGTGACAACACTCTGTCCTTCTTCAGGCCCTTCCTGTCATAGGGTGACAACACCCTGTCCTTCAGGCCCTTCCTGTTATAGGGTGACAATGCTTTGTCCTTCTTCTGACACTTCCTGTTATAGGGTGACAACACTCTATCCTTCTTCAGGCCCTTCCTGTTGTAGGGTAACAACGCTCTGTCCTTCTTCAGGCCCTTCCTGTTGTAGGGTGACAATGCTTTGTCCTTGCCCCCCTTTTGTTTCCTTGCCTTGTCAACTTGTCACCTGTCCCAATGGAGACTACAAGGGTCATGCTGACGCACCTTTCATAGTATTGCAACTAGAACTGCAGCCAGGGCTGTCCCTATAAGGAGGCAGCCGGGGCATCTCATTGGGTCACGTGGGGGTGGGCAGGTGTCGCCCCCTTTCCGGCCAGAGTGGCCCGGGTTGGGAAGCTCTTAGTAACCTGTGATACTCTGCCTGGCGTCCAGCCCAGCTCCAGGCAACCAGTGTTGTCAGCGACCCGGACGGGATGCCAGAGCGGGTATCCCATAGCTCACTCCATCAATGTACTGCCAGTCCCTTTTTAAGAGGGGGGAGGGGCAGCGAGAGTGATGGGGCTTCTCTCACACTACACCTGAGCTGCCATGGGGTCCAAACGAGCCCTTTACTAATTGGCAGAGCCGGTCATGATGAATCGGCAGCCCGCAGGCCCGCGCGCTCCACGCCGTCTGATCTCAGGCTGCGCCGTCCGCTCCTCTAATTGGAACATTTTCCTCTTATGTTTCCTTTTTGTCTGTTGGCGTCGGCTGGTGACAGATTCTTCCCTCCGCGCCATCAATCTGTTCCGCGTCAGCAAGCGCAGAGCTGCAGCTCCACCGGTCGGGGAATCGGAGAGTCTCGGTGGCGTCACTCAGAAAGCTCCGGCTGAAAATCCGGCCAATTCTGACACAGCTGAGAACCCCCCCCAATGTTCACACCAGCGCGCAAATATCACGTGCTACAAAGTATCTCCTATAAAGAGATAAAAGACACAAAGGAAGGCAGCTCCGTACTTCCCGAGACATCATTATATGTAGAGGTGTAAGTACCAGGATGTGACCTGCTATCAGCCTCTACTAGTGATGTACCGATACCGATACTAGTATTGGTATCAGCGCCGATACCGAGGATTTGGGCAAGTACTCCTACTCACCCAAATGCTCCGATATACTTACCTCCAATATCGGAACTTCCAGTCAGAGGGAGAGCTGACCAGTGCCGAGGGAGCATGGAGCCGGCTTCCTTTCCAATCAGGAAGGCGGGAAGTGGGTTATGACTAGGGATGCACCGATACCGGTATTTCGGTATTGAGTACCAATATTTTTTTTCTGGTATTCGCCGAAAACCGAGTACCGGAAGTCTCATTCAGGAAGCTAGGCGGCGTGTAATGACTCGCTACCTGGCTTCCTGTTTGGCCGGAAAGCCGTCTCCATGCTCCCGCGTCATGAGGCGCCCGGCTTCCTGATTGGCCAGCTTCCCAACCAATCAGGAAGCCGGGCAGAATGTAATGACGCGCTGCCCGGCTTAATGATACCGGAAGTATCGGACTAGGCATCGGAGCATTTGGTGGAGTACTCGCCCAAATACTCGGCATCAGCACCGATACTAGTATCGGTGAAACCCTAGTTATGACCTGCCTCCCAATTGGCTAGAAAGCCGGCTTCACTTGTTGCTAGGCAGCCTGGCTTCCTAATCAGGAAGCCGGGCAGCGCGTCATTACCCGCCTCCCTGATTGGTCAGGAAGCCAGGCTGCCTAGCAACAAGTTAAGCCAGCCCCCTAGCCAATCAGGAAGCTGGGACATGACGTGGCTAGGAAGCCGGCTTCACTTGTTGCTAGGCTATCTGATTGGTCAGGAGGCCAGGCAGCCCCAGGAAGTGAAGCCGGTGTTCTCTCAGTAGAGCAGCGGCTTCCCAGGCAGTCGAGGCACATGGCACTAAAAATCGGTATTTGGTAATGGCAAATATTGGTACTCGCACTCGATACCATAAAAATGGTATCGGCGCACCCTTGCCTCTACTGTACAGCAGGGCTGCAGCACAAGTAGCCAGTCAGTTCATGGGCTTATAAGAAGCATGCTGATAGGAGGGGAGAGCCGAGTGACAGAAAGATGAGCTCATCATTCCTTTCACTGTCCAGTCACAGGCTGGGGGCTTGTCCGGGATGACCTGGGCTCAGAGGAAGTGGTTTGAATGATACTGGCCATCAGACTGAGGTCATTTAGTGGCAGAAAAGTCTACCCCCGGGGGAAATCTCTGGATTGAAGGCGAATATTACATCAGCTCTTTTATCGGGCTATTTATTTTCACCTTGTTATTTGTTATCTGGAGTTTTGCTTTAAGATTTTTGCCGCTACCAAAAGCTATGACAGTTCCGAAGGGGAGGAGTCACCACACACAGCCGCGATTTTCTAGTATTCTTCTACATGGGTGTAATTGTTCTTTTGGGGCAAAAAAAAAAAATCAGCTTTTTGTTTTTAATGAATTGTTCCTGTTTTGTTTTGTTTGTTCTATGAGGTCACATGACTCGTGTGTGGAATTTGAATGAAGTCTCTTTTACATGAAACGATTGATAACAATGATCTGATTTCGGGACATTCGCCGTTCTAGACTTCATGGTCTCCTTCTCTTTCCAAGGTGATGATGTCATTTCGATGGCCGACTCGACAACCACCGTGGACGATATTGAAGACGAGCTGTTCAAGATTGAAAGGATCCGAGAGATCCTGGTGAGGAGAGAGTCGGAGCTCAGATACATGTGAGTAATAGATACGGCCGAGATGATTGAACTCCCAGATCAGCAAATATTCTCCTCATACAGAGTCCTGTGTGTTCCTCATTGGTGAGCTTTGTGTGTTTCTTCCAGATCTGTGCGGTGATCCAGCGTGAGACTTGGAGCTTCCTGTAATAAAGACCGCTCGCTGACGCTTTCCCTTCTTGTGCAGGGTGTCTGGTCTTGTCTCCGCCCCCTCCTGTAATAAAGACCGCTCGCTGACGCTTTCCCTTCTTGTGCAGGGTGTCTGGTCTTGTCTCCGCCCCCTCCTGTAATAAAGACCGCTCGCTGACGCTTTCCCTTCTTGTGCAGGGTGTCTGGTCTTGTCTCCGCCCCCTCCTGTAATAAAGACCGCTCGCTGACGCTTTCCCTTCTTGTGCAGGGTGTCTGGTCTTGTCTCCGCCCCCTCCTGTAATAAAGACCGCTCGCTGACGCTTTCCCTTCTTGTGCAGGGTGTCTGGTCTTGTCTCCGCCCCCTCCTGTAATAAAGACCGCTCGCTGACGCTTTCCCTTCTTGTGCAGGGTGTCTGGTCTTGTCTCCGCCCCCTCCTGTAATAAAGACCGCTCGCTGACGCTTTCCCTTCTTGTGCAGGGTGTCTGGTCTTGTCTCCGCCCCCTCCTGTAATAAAGACCGCTCGCTGACGCTTTCCCTTCTTGTGCAGGGTGTCTGGTCTTGTCTCCGCCCCCTCCTGTAATAAAGACCGCTCGCTGACGCTTTCCCTTCTTGTGCAGGGTGTCTGGTCTTGTCTCCGCCCCCTCCTGTAATAAAGACCGCTCGCTGACGCTTTCCCTTCTTGTGCAGGGTGTCTGGTCTTGTCTCCGCCCCCTCCTGTAATAAAGACCGCTCGCTGACGCTTTCCCTTCTTGTGCAGGGTGTCTGGTCTTGTCTCCGCCCCCTCCTGTAATAAAGACCGCTCGCTGACGCTTTCCCTTCTTGTGCAGGGTGTCTGGTCTTGTCTCCGCCCCCTCCTGTAATAAAGACCGCTCACTGCTGCTCTCTCCTTGGGCAGGGTGACTGGTCTTGTCTCCGCCCCCTCCTGTAATAAAGAACGGATCAAGATTACGGGGATGCAGTTTGCATTTTTTGCAGTGAACTGTACAGGATAATGAGGAAATGGGGAAATTATCTACACTGGTGCAGACAGATTCTGGAACGTCTGTGCATGGCAACCAATCAGGCAGGAGGAAGCATTTCCTCAGTCTCCCCTCCTCCAGTGATCAGTCTGCTGAAAGCAGGAGGAAGCATTTCCTCAGTCTCCCCTCCGCCAGCGATCAGTCTACTGCAGGCAGGAGGAAGCATTTCCTCAGTCTCTCCTCCCCCAGTGATCAGATGGTGACCCTGGATGATGCCTGAACAAAGATGGCTCCGTCCTTCCGGAGAGGAAAGCAGATGAAGTCATTGTCAGGGGGTGTAATAAATACCAGTGTGACACACGACTTAACAAGCTGCATTTAAAATCTAAAAAAATATATCTGATGGAAGTTCCACCTTCAGATTCTTTTGGGTCCCCCTGTAAACGTCATTTGCAAGGGTGGGGGGTTCGGCATAATCACCAAAATGCAAGGAAAGGAGGTGAAAGCAATGACCGGTTATGCCGAAACACCACGGGAACTTATTTCAAAGCCATCACTTCGCTTTTTATTAGACGTCTCCGTTTTGGGTCGGCTGCATATGAAATAAAAATGATTTGGGGGGGGGGATGGGAGTTTTTAGCCGCAGATGAAGTGAAGTGTCGCCGAGGGAGTCGCCGTTTTGGTGCGGCGGGGAAAGGGTTAACCGAGCATCTTTCTGCAGTGCAGGAACGCAGGTGTGAGTCACCGAGAGATGAGTCACCGCTCGCCCCTGGGGGGGGTTGCCTAGCAACAAGAACAAAATTAACAAATGCAAAATTGATGCAATCTGTCGGTGGCATTAAGGTGGAACCTCCGCGTGAACGTCTCTCCTGCAATGAAGGATTCCGAACATACTCTGCGCAAACTTCCTAAACTGCGCGCTGAGCCGCGTCATCCCAGCCAGGCCGAGCAAGATGGCCGGAGATCCTAAATCTGGAAGAGGTCATTGGGAAGATGTCGGCGCCGCTGGTGTCGTATCACTGTAGGGGAGGGGGGGTATAGTTCCACCTTAACATTGTGATTCATTACTAGATCTATTTTTTACGCTTCCTGTAACAGGGTGACAACGCTGCAGTGAAATCGCACCGCAGCGTTGTCACATTTTGGACAGTGTAGGTTTAAGTTGGCCATACAATGGTCTCATTTCAGCCAGGGTGCTGCTGAGTCAGTGTGTGGCCCCCGTCGGGACCTCCTCATTCGATGTATAACTCACTCTGTAGCACTGTCCGTGTCACTTCTCCTGTTCACCATCGCCACCAGTGCCC